GGCACTTGCATAGACGAAAATGATGTCAAGCAGGAAACTGAATCTTTGATCGTACATTATGAAGATTTCACCCGATCGCAAACTTCGAAAGATTTAAATTGTGCTCAGTGTAATTACACAACCAAAAATAAATGCAGTTTAAGGGCGCATTTACGAACTCATAAGGCTGTTAAAGATTTCTCATGTGATCAGTGTAATTACGCAACCAATAACAAATACCATCTTAAACGACATCTATTGACCCACAAGAAGATATTCAAGAATTTTAAATGTGCCCAGTGTGATTACGCAACCAACGATAAATCCTATCTTAAAGGACATCTATTAACCCACAAGACAATCAAGGATATTAAATGTGCTCATTGTGATTACGCGACCACTAATAAGTCGTGTCTAAAATCACATTTGCTTTCACATAAGCGTTCCAAGGATTTCAAATGTGTCCAGTGTGATTATGCAACCAATTATAAATCTAATTTTAAATCCCATTTATTAACTCACAAAACAACTACGGATTTTAGATGTGTTCAGTGTGATTACGCTACTATTAATAAGTACAATTTAAAAAAACATCTACTTACACATAAACCTTCCAAGGATTTTAAATGTGCCCATTGTGATTATGCAACTAATAGTAATTCTAATTTTAGAAGGCATCTATTAACTCACAAGACCACTACGGATTTTAGATGTGTTCAGTGTAATTACGCGACCACTAGTAAGTATAATTTAAAAACGCATCTGCTCTCACATAAACCTTCCAAGGATTTCAAGTGTGTCCAGTGTGATTACGCAACCAATTATAAATATAATTTTAAATCACATCTGTTAAGTCACAAGACAACTACGGATTTTATATGTAATCAGTGTGATTACGCGACCACTAATAAGTATTATTTAAAAACACATGTGCTTTCACATAAATCTTCCAAGGATTTTAAATGTGTCCAGTGTGATTATGCAACCAATAGTAGTTCAAATTTTAAAAAACATCTATTAACTCACAAGACAACTACGGATTTTAAATGTGTTCACTGTGATTACGCGACCACTAGTAAGTATAATTTAAGAAAACATCTGCTGTCACATAAACCTTCCAAGGATTTCAAATGTTCCCAGTGTAATTACGCAACGAATAATAAGTACACTTTTAAAACACATATGCTAAGACACCAGACTTCCAAAATTTTCAAATGTGCTCAATGTGATTTTTCAACCAATTACAAATCTAGTTTTAAATCGCATCTATTAACTCACAAGACGACTAAGCTTTTCAAATGTGGTCAGTGTGATTACGCAACCGACAATAAATACACTATAAAAACACATCTTCTTTTACATAAAACTTACAAGGATTACTCTTGTGCTCAGTGTAATTATACAACTAATAATAAATGCACTCTGAGAGCACATTTGGGAACCCATAACATAACTGAAGGTGTTGAAATGTTCCCAATGTGATTACGCCACAAACAGTAAATTAGTATTGAAAAGACATCTGTGTAAACACAAAACTTCTACCTAATTACTTCTCTTTGTAAGAGGTGTTTGTTGGCAACAGCGCTTTTGTACGTTTTATATAAAAAGCGACAACACTGTTTGCAAAATGTTACAAGTTAGATAAATGAAAGTGAGATGGCGTATATGACATTGTGTTGTAATATGTAATGTTTTCCATGATTTTTTTAATAAAGGATATTGTGAGATAACAGTCTGGGCCCTCCTTGTATAAATAAGCAATTGTTAGTATAGATAATGACAGTTAAGAAACTAGAATGTAAGTACTATGCGATCAAAAGAAGAGTTGCCGTCGAGTCGCCTTTGGAATTTTTGTTTACATGGGAATTCATATTTAAATTGAACTTCCAAAGGCGACTCGACGTCAATCCTTTTTTGATCGCGGAGCAGCGGTCAATATTAAAGTTTGACAAGAGATAAAAACCCACCCTGGGTGGAGGGATAAAAAGTGTGTTCAGTTTCAAGTTACCAGGATAGTGTTGGTCGGATTGATGGTTGTTCAGAGTCCAGAAGGTCAAGTGGCTAGATGGTTGGCAAAACTGCAAGAGTACGACTTTGCGCAGGACGAAACCATCGTAATGCCGATGTCTAGAAGACCATATCCTGATGATTGTCGACACTGCTCACAACTGGAGCACAGATATGAAGAACAACACGCACGACGCATTGCACTTGTGAATGATAATCGGGCACCCCCAGAACTCCGGACAGGTCAAACAAGTGACTGTGATTTACGTCTGATTATAAACTGGAAAATGGAAGAAAGAATGGCAACCTGAGAAGAGGTATCTCGATATGGTCTAGCGTATTGGGCTCGGTGGGACTCGTTGCGGTTACAAGATGGTCTTAAGAGAGTTGTAGAAAGTGATGCAAATGGGCAGAATCTTATGAGCTATTAAATCAAGAAGCGACAAACGTAGCGTTCGGTAAAAGAACTTTTAGCAGATTTGGAGTGCCACTGGAACTACACTCTGACCAGGGTCGAAATTTTGAGTCGACGCTGTTCGAAAATCTGTCAACCATTGGTCATTGGCGAAACCAGAACCACAATCAGACGGAAAGATAAAACGCATGAATAGGGCAATGGGGAAGTACTTCACCAAAAGTCGTGTCAGACCACCAGCGTCATTGGGATAAATCTCCGGTGGTAAAAACTGTAATCATTTGAGCTAGGATACCTAATTCCGCGATTGTCTTCGGCTCTTTCAACTGTAGGCCCGAAACCAGGGGCGAGTTATCTATCTTGCCGGAGCAAGATTATGCTAATCAAAACTCAGAATCTATGTGCGATAAATGAGGTACGGTTCGGTAAGTTGAGATGTCTATATCCCTTTAAATACCCTGTATATTTCAACGTCGGATGCAACCGGTCAAGTAGTTGGAGATTCTGGGGACATGAGCCACCGCCATCACCACCTGTCGATATTTTTTTGGTAGCTTCCGGAGGATGTTTGGGGTTTTTAGAGTGCTTGGCGTCACATCATCACTTGTTGTTTGTTAAAGCTTGTTGGTGGTGGGCTTTGTTGTATTTTGAGTTGTATTCATAGAGTTTAGCTTTGTTTTTGGTGTTTGTGAGTTCAACCACTTTCGTGTCGGGTAAAGTATTTTATGTAGTTTACTCTTATGTATTTATGTGAATTGTGCCATTTGTTAAATCAGATATTTTCCAACCACCATTGTGCTAATACGTAATTTACAACATGCGAGGTGCTAACTAATATCCATGTGCTTGTGGAAGGCTGCAATATCTCAGGTTTAGACCACGTTTACTCAGTTACACGTTGCACGGGGTGAACCTATGTCAAACCTCGACTTCCGTGAAGCAGGGCATGCAATGCTAGGTGTATTTAGTTTAGGGTGACTCGTAACACTCGCGAATGTGTGTGCCTTGTTGTATGTAACTAATATCTTTCTACCGTGAGAGGGAGCTCGGACGCTAGAATAGAAAAGGTGTTCTAGAGCTAAGGCATAAAAGGATCCGAGGGCCCTCGAACCTCCAACTCTAGGGATGAAGTGCTGTAACAAAGACCATCCTACACATGGGCGGCGCCCCATCTCTTAACCACCTTCAGTTTTGTGTCGTTACGAGACCGATGTCCGGGGAGTGTTACGAAGCACATGTAGTAGTTCCGGAAGTCTGGGGTTTATACCAATGTCATTGTGTGGAAACTGAGCATAATTGAGGGCCCCACAGGCACACTGAGTATGGTCATAACTGCCTATTGTTACGTCACAACATGAATAATAGATCAGACGTGTTTTTACAAACTTCACACCACTCTATTCGATATACAATGATACGAATAACTAGTAAGGTGACTTATATCAATAAATGCGTGAATGTGTTGCCCCTAACAATCTTAACTGCGCTACGGGTTAATAGGCAAATATGCCGGCCCAATTCCTAACAATATAACCGTGAAACAGGAGGACAATCAAGCTAAGACGCTGGCCCTAACCTAACAAATAACCAGGTTCACCATCCAATGACTAACTAAAAGGTGAGTTACCTTCTAGCCGCGATTAAAGGAAAGTACATGACATGTTGTGACGAATACTCTACGCATACTGTTCAAATGTACCCGGCTACTTGAATTCATTAATTAATTAAGGTAGGGTTACATGTTCTGCTTAGGTGTTTGGTGTTTTAATTTGCTTGTGATTAACATAGTTTGGGTTTTATTCACGGCCAAGGTTTTTCTCAAGTCGCGCTCTTTTTCGCCTTGGTAGTCTGCTTTTGCGAGAGTGCGGCACCTTTAGGTTTTGCTTGCTTTGCTTTTAATGTACCACATCCAAATTCCGGGTTTTCAGAATACGTTTATAATAAATAAACTCGCAGACATTAGAGTGTTTTATTTGAGTGTTCCTGCCCGACTGGGTCCCGAGTCATTGTATTATCTTCGTGTAACGTAAGGGGGCCCTACCGTAGACGATCTAATCACGTGCCATTCTTTTGTTTGAATTTTAGGCGGGAACCGTGTTTTGATACTGGGATTGCAACGTTGCCACTTTTCCGTGAAATCTGTCATTTTCATTTCGAGCCTGGGGGTGGGTTAAGATCAGTACAAAGTTCCACATATTTCTGCTGATAGTTGAATTTGCCTACAAGGCTATGTAATTTTATTTCCCATAATTAAGGCAGCATTCAGTTGTTTTTATTTCAAAAAACGAATGAATAACGAAAAACAAATTTTTTTTAAATGACAGTTTACCTTTTCTTATGCTCATTTGAGAGAGATTTTTTTCTCTTTTCGATGTTGTAACATGTTAGTACCCTTAATACAAGAAAATGTTTCAAAAAAACTTATAATCACAGCAATAACATTAATCTAGTAATCATACATCAAAATAAAACAAATGTGTACGTTTGTTACCATTTTCATTTTGTCTTCAAGGTTTAATAAGAAACGTATACGTTCATTTGTTTTATTTTGATTTAGGACTTTCGTATAGAAAAATGTTGTATACATTCGATATTTACGGAGATATATGCTATATTCCATACATATTGGGCACCCTGTATAAGCAAATTGAAAGCGTGTGAATTCAGTTCCAGCTTCGTTGCTCTTGAGAGGTTATAAATTGTAAGTGATAATAATAATTAGTGTTACAAATTTATTGTTAATTAGTTGTAATAAAAGACATAATTAAATTTACGTTACAGTATATAGCGTGGAGCCTCTCAGTATCAACAATGATAAGATGGCTCCCATTTCCCAATAACAAAAACATGAAGTACAGTCCTGCTTTTCTCGTGGAACCCTGTTCAGTCTGATAACAAATATGGCGACGTTCTTTCCTTCATGAGACCTTCTACAATTGCAAAACGACCGCCGTTTTAGTATTGTGTACTTGTGTGATAATGTCGGCAATTGTGAAAGTGGAAGTGAAACAAGAAGACAACATAAATGGTACCTGCATTGATGAGAAACTTTTACTTAATGATGTCTCCGGAAAGATAAAGAAAGAACTTAATGAGATTACACGCACTTGTCTAGACGAAAGTGGCGTCAAGCAGGAAAAGGAATCTTTGATTGTACATTCTAAAGATTTCAATTGTACTTGGTGTAATTACACAACCAAAATTAAAAACAATTTAACAGTACATCTGCAAAGCCATAATACTGTTAAAGATTTGAAATGTGGTGTGTGTGATTACGCGACAAATAAAAAATTTTTTCTTAAGCGACATCTCTTAACCCACAAGATGTTCAAGGAATTTAAATGTGACCAGTGCGATTACGCAACCAATAGTAAATCCTATCTTAAAGTACATTTATTAATTCATAAGAGAACCAAGGACATCAAATGTGACCATTGTGATTACGTAACCGCTAACAAGTATAATTTACAAAAGCATCTGCGTTTACATAAATCGTCAAAGGATTTCAAATGTGTCCAGTGTGATTATGCAACAAAATATAAATCTAATTTGAAATCTCATCTATTAACTCACAACACAACTACAGATTTTAGATGTGTTCAGTGTGATTACGCGACCACTAATAAGTGTAATTTAAAAAAACATCTGCTTTCGCATAAACCGTGCAAGGATTTTAAATGTGGCCGGTGCGATTACGCAACCAATGATAGGTCCTATCTTAAACTACATTTATTAACTCATAAGAGAACCAAGGATATCAAATGTGATCAATGCTATTACGCAACCACTAATAAGTATAATTTAAAAAATCATCTGCTTTCACATAAACCTTGTAAGGATTTCAAATGTGGCCAGTGTGAATATACAACGAATATTAATTGTAACTTTAAAAAACATCTATTAACTCACAACACAACTACAGATTTTAGATGCGTTCAGTGTGATTATGCGAGCACTAATAAGTATTACTTAAAAAAGCACCTGCTTACACATAAAGCATGCAAGGATATCAAATGTGTCCAGTGCGATTATGCAACTAACATTAGTTCTAATTTTAAAAAACATCTATTAACCCACAAGACAACTGCAGATTTTACATGTACTCAGTGTGATTATAAGACCACTAGTAACCGTTATTTAAAAAATCATCTGCTTTCGCATAAACCTTCCCAGGATTTCAAATGCTCCCAGTGTAGCTACGCAACAAATACTAGATACAATTTTAAAATACATCTGCTAAGACACCAAACTTGTAAGATTTTCAAATGTGCTGAATGTGATTATGCAACCAATTATAAATCTAGTTTGAAAACACATCTATTAACTCGCAGGACAACTAAATTTTTAAAATGTGGCGAGTGTAATTACACAAATAATAACAAATGCAGTTTGAGAACACATTCGGTAACGCATAACTCTGTGAAAGAGTTCAAATGTTCCCAATGTAATTACGCAACAAATAATAAATACAGTTTTAAATACCATCTGTCGAGACATGATAAATCAATGTGATTATGCAACAAACTTTAATTTGATTTTAAATCTCATCTATTAACCCATAGGACAACTACGGATTTTAAACAGGGTGTTATGTAGATGGGATGCTGCGATATGTTTTGATTGATGATACATTAGGCGGTAATAATTTTAATTACACAGGGTTGCTCATAAAGGCCCGGCACACCAAAATTGCATTTTTTCAAATGGAACACCCTGTATATTTTCTAATGTTCCAATTCTCTCAATTTTAAGCAATTATTTTGTAATAAGCATGTACCTAAATTCAATCGTTTCCGGATCATCGAGTTTTGAATAATGCTATTATTTTAAAATTATTAATAATTGGACAAAAAACAATAATTAATGATTCCAAATAATCATAACAAGCTCCACAAACGGTTCTTTTCAGAACCATAGAAAAGTTTTTCAAAATCAACTCGTAACTCATTAATTATTGTTCTTTATTCAATACATTTTAAAACAATACGTTTTATTTTCCAAATTCGATAACTCTGAAACGGTTGCATTTGGGTACATTCTGCTTCTTACAAGTTATGCTCAAAATTGAGAGAAAAATTAATATATCGAATAATATACTGGGTGTTCTATTTAAAAAAATGCAATATTAGTGTGCCACGCCGTTATGACCAACCCTGTATAATTAAAATTACTACTCCCTTGTAGACATTAAAGAACCTTTAAAGAAGCTTTTTTTGATACCTCGATCGTTTCCAGACTTATTAGTGACCTTGTATAATTTGCATGTAAAATTGCAGTATTTGTTTAAAAAATAGTTTTTAAAGTAAATTTTAAGTTTCAGTGTGGTTGGTACTGTACGTTGTACCATTGAGCAGTTATGCATCAAGATCGAGCATTGTGGTAAGACATTTGGAAATGGAGTAGTTTACCGCCCCCAACCAATAATATAATGTTATCTTCGATTTATTAAAGGAGTCTTTTATGTACATGCCAACTGTCGACAAAAGAGTGTGTAGGCAATTTTAACATAAAAACGTTCTTAACATTGACGTCTATTATATTTCTATCTGAACATTGAAAGCCTACTACGTGTATTACATAAATGTGATTCTTATTAAATTTAGATTTTAACACTCCCCTTAAATATAAGGAATCAGTGCAGAAGACAATTCAATGGTTTATTCAAGCCAGCGAAATCTAGTTTATCAGTTTGACAGCCGTAGCTACGGCTGGTGCCCGGGGCGGCCCTCCAAAATTGTGCTCTCATGTCCCATTCGCCACCAAATTAACAGTTTGGTAGGTACAGAACAGGGTGTTCCAAATTGCTTTATTCTATGATATTTTGCCAAATTAACAGAAGTTATTTATTATTATTATTTATTGTATCTCAAAGAATTACATCCTTATTACAAGGGAACGAATGGTTAGTTACATTACAGCAACATAGAACAAATTAGCATAAGTATATATAATCATTATAAAATAAAGAAAGAAAATCAGTACTATTATAGTAACATTTAGTAGATGGCCAACAAAAGCTTTCTATTCAGAACGACAGAACACTAAAATAATGTAGTATCCAGACTAAAGCGAACTAAAAAAATTTCTTTTATTTTATTTAGTTATTTATATCTATTTTTTTTTTTATTCATTAAGCAAAAAAGAACGCAACCTTAACATCGCGGTAACAAAGTCGCCGATGGAAGAGAGTGTTTTGAAAGAATTTGAACCCAGAGCATTAGCTAGATCTATAAAGGAATTTATATGAGGAATATAATTTTTGCGGAGGCTATTATAAAATGGACATTCGAAG